TGCCATCAACTTAAGATCCTACTTATATTTATACATATATTTATACACATAGTATAACATATTTTGATAAGATAATATAGTCTTCATCAATGATGTGTCCAAAAAAAAGCCTTTATTAATTTTTAGGTGGCTAGTCCTCAAGCTTTCATTTAGCCTCTATTTTTAACTTTATTATATATCTAGATGCCATTTTCTTTGTTAATAAGCTAAATATCTTTTAAATATAGCTATTGATTGGTTGGCTTCCCTGCTATGTTGTAGACCACACAAAATAAATTTATTTTAGTTTGCGAATCTATATTATAATGTCAATCAACTAAAATATATAAAATTAAAGATAAAAAAATTCATTTATTTTCATAATTTTTAATCAAATTTTGTATTTGGTTTATTCTTTTTTGTGTTTTTCATAATTTTGTTGTTAAAAAAACACGATATATTCTTTGTTATGCATTTGTTCTTAAATAAAAATCTATAATAATCTAAATAGAAGATTTAATATAAAATTTAAAAAATATATCTTAATAATTTTTTTCATAAGATTGCATCAAAAAATAAAACAATAATTAATAAAACTGGTATAAGATTTAACTAAAGAATCTTTTTTATTGTTCTTTAACGTTGATGAGAAAACGAACTTTTTGTAATATGAATATTTGATTTATATATATTTATTTACAAAATAATTAATATTATTAGTATAAAAAATTATATTTGAATTATTAAGTGGTTCTCCTAAAATATCGGTTTACTTATTTTACTTGAAAGAAATTAATTTTAATTTTTTTAAAAAAATCAATAGCAAATGGTTGATGTTATGTGTGTAGATTTATAGTTAATTTTTAATAAAATCAATGATTTTAATTAATTTTTTATACACTATGACCATACTCGATGGGTCGAGTGTATAGCATAAATAAAAAAAAATATTTTTAAAAAAAACTTAAGTTGTAAGGAAAATATTGAAGTTAAAAAACTTAAATAATAACAACCATAAAATTAATTATGATAAATTTTGATTATATAAGTAATAAACATATAAAACACATGAATTATATCTTTGAATTAATTTTTTTATTTATAAAAAAATCAATACCATTAGTATAAAAATTTATATTTTAATTATTAGGTGGTTTTTCTAAAATATTATTTTATTTGAAAGAAATTAATTTTAAATTTTTTAAACAATTAATAACAAACGATTGGTATTATATGTGTACGAGACATAGTTAATTTTTTATAAAATCAATAAGATATATAATTTTATATATGTCCTTGCTGTTTTATTAATTAGTATATGTTTGTGGTTCATTTAATCTCTTTTTTTTCCCTCAAAATATATACTTCTTATAAGCAATACATGTAAAAGGAAATTGAACTTTGACTCTCTCTTCCATTCTCTTTCTAAAATCAGTCGATTAATTATAACAATCTCTCATCCCTCTCTAAAATACCAGTATTGTCATTAATTAATTGATTGTTATACATCTATATTGTTTCTGTCTTTTTTTGTTTTTTTTTTTTTTCCTGACTGAATTCTTTTCATTGATCGTCAAAGAAATCACTAAACATCTCCTCCTGTTTATCTCTTTTCTAAATTGAGGTCTTATATATAGTATCTGAGTTTTTATTGAATTCATATATATATATATATATATGGCTTTACTTATGAGAGATGCACATGTTGTGTATTTTTGATTTCTAAGATAAAATATAAGAAATGGTGTATTTTGCTAGGTTCGTTCATGATATAAAATTTTTGAATTTACATGAGATTTGCTGAGTTTGTGTTCCAAAACTTATTATGTAACTATAATCATGGTGAATAGAAAGAATGATAAAGAGAAATAAAAAACGAGAGAAGCTTGCTTCTAAATTATTTCAGATCCAGTCTTTTCTTGAATCTAGAAAATTTTTATCTTTCAAATTATTTAATTGAAATAAATTATAAGTTAGTTGTAATAACATATTCACAAAATGACATGGAAAGCTTACGTGACGTCTATAGAGTTAAAAAAAAAAAACCCGTAACAGTTTTGAGAAGCAAAGTAAAGATGCCATCTCTTGATAATAAATTTCAAAAGAACTTTAGTCTGGGGAAAAAAAACATTTGAATTACGTCTATAAGTACGTAAATAAACTACTGTCCACTAAAACCATACATTGAAACCTAAAATCATTAATAAAAATTTAATATGTAATGAAAAACTCGTAACAGTTTTATAAATTAGAATATCTTACAGATTTTTATACAAAATATGATTACATTATTTAAGTCCTTCATATTACTTACACATATATACAATTGCCACATTTTATTACTAATTTTTATTTCATATTTTTTAATTAATTTACATATGAAATTACTATCATTTATGAAGCAAGTTTAACAATAGACATGTATTAACTTACATTTTTATTTAAATCTCATTGTTTTAGTAAAATTTTAGTTACACACTTAGATGGTCTAAATTGGGCATCTTCTTTTTGTCTAGTATTAACACAAAAATTTAGACGAGGATGTTAAAATTCTGACAACTCGGAATCCTCCAGAGTGATGAATTTAAACTCCAAGAAGCAATGTGGTAAAATTTGGCAACGAGAAGGGCAATAATTTAGACGGCATGAATCGGTTCCAAAAAGACCAGTCTTACGGCCGAATTGGTTGAGCCCTGACTGAATAAAATGGGCTGGCCGTGAATAGCGGAAAATGAAACAATGTCAGGCAGATGCTGCAGGCTATGGGCCTAAGTCATCGAGATCCGTGCAAGTGCAACAGTAGAAGGACACACGAGAAAAGAGAATCGTGATTAGCGGCTTTTTGTTTTGTCTTTCGTTTTGTTTTCTGTATTTTTTTAATGTAGGAGTGTTTGAAATGTTTGGCCAAGGAATCAATTCTGGCATTGACTTTACCAATGTTGTATGTACACACGATATGTACACACGATCTTCAAAGCCGGAGAGGGTTAAAAAAAAACAGAGAGAGATTCCTCAACGAGGAGAGGGGAGCAGGCAAAAGAAGCAGAGAGATAAGAGAAGAGAGAAATGGTGATCTAATCTAATGTTTGCTTTTTTGTTCTTCTTTCTTTACTGCCTTTACGAAGGTCAGCCACAGGCAAGCCAAGCCAGAACAGCAACCCTACTTGCAAAAACAAACACAACACAACCCCTTTGACATGTAGATTTGTATACTCTTTTCTCTTTCTTTGTCTTGGCTTTCCTTTTACTCTACCAGCGTTACGTGTGTTTTCGCTTTCTTTTTTATGATTAAAGTGCCCCACCTCGCTCGGTTTTTTTTTCTTTCTAAACAAATATAAAGATAGATGGATTATACAATCAGTTGAAATATTGGGTTTTTTCAATCCTATCTACATTTAAAAAGGATTCTTATTGTATGCATGTCGAAAATAAAACTTAAAATCTCTTTAAGTTAAAAGGAATAAATCTATTATCAATGAGTTTTCTCCTCGTCATTTAGAACAAAACTTTGCGCGAACGCAAAACGGCATGTCATGACTCTCAACCTCAGCAAGCTACTGGTTAATCTGCTTAGGCTTTGTTTGGATCTAGCAATAGATAGGATGGCCCCAAAGTGCGCATCCAATGTAACTCGTGTTTAGAATTGGTAAAAGAGTCAACCAGCTCGTGTGGGCTTTGGTACTTTGCCTTCTCCACTTTAGTTCTCTCTCTCTCTCTCTCTCTATAGTGTCAACGCTCATAAACCAACAAAGGTAAACAAGCTACTGCTGCTCTCTGTAACCCAAGGTAGGAAGCTTCCCACTAGCCTTCCTCCTCGCATCTCCTCTCCTCTACTTGGCTTTGCTTTTTTAGCTCTCTTTTTTTGTTTGATTGTCATTGTCTCTACTTCTTTAAATTCCACACAAGTAATAAAGACCCACCAAAGCACTAGTATACCTCTGCTCTGCTGCTTTGTTAGTGTATCACTCTCTATCTAAAATCTCAAAGAAAAAGTCTTCTTCCATTCGGCTTGCAACATCAAGAAGGTACATTTTCTAGTTCCCTTCTTTCTTTCTCGATCTTCCCCTTTTATTGCATGATCTTGTTCAATCTGTTTGTATGCGTGCCTGTGTTTTTTTTTTCCTTAGTTTATATTTTTTGGTGTTGTTCTTTCTTGGTTGGATGGTTTTTATGTGACTAAATTTGGATGAAATTAATATGAATTTCAGCTCATATTGGAGACGGATTTGATGGGCCTTTTTTCTTTCTGGTCGAATAGGATAGTTTATTTGCTTGATGCTTGGTTTCTTTGTATGATAAGAATAAGAATCTAATGCAGGATGCCCTGATTTGTCGATTATTAGCTCTTTCTTTTTGGGTCTTTTGGTTTCTCTTTTTCTTTTTGTTGTTGATGCCGATTTCCTAGTGGCTTCTTTCTAAACAAAAAGTTCATTTCTTGATCCCCTTTCAGTTCTTTCCTTTGCTTTGTCATTTCTTTTTCATTTTGTTTACTACTACCCAGCCTCTTGCATGCTCTTGTCCATTTGCCGGTTGTACATCTATTTTTGAAGAATCTATCTCTTCTGGTGTTTTCATGTGTAAAATCTCTTCTTTTTCTCACTTTATTCACTTATGCTGACGGGTGAAAAATTGGTAAAAACTGAAAATCCCATGGGTTTTATCACTTTTGGTTCTTTGTAGGCTGGTATCTTCAATTTGTTGATAGTGTTCAAAGATTATTCTCAGATTGTCTCTAGTGAAGACAGGATAAGGAAATTCTTACTTTATGTCCTAGATATTGGTTGCTTGCATGGAGAAAGAGAATTAAGTGTATTTAATGGAATTTCATTGTGCTTTTTCTTGGTTGTGAATTTTAAATCTCTAGCTCAATTATTGTATCCATTTATGAGTGGATATTAGATTCTTCTTTTTTATTCTCTGGCATGGCAAGCATATATACTCCACAATAACTTGCATTTCACTAAAAACTCCTTTGTCTCCTTATATTCTGACAGTTATTATCATTTGCAAAGTTCCAATCAATGGAGCACAATGATAACTGGGTTCCAAGAGCAGGTCGGAAGAGAAAGCTGGAATCACAAGATAAAGGGATGCTTAACTTCTCCTTGGATGAGCTCAATGAAGACCTTCTTGAAAGGGTTCTTTCATGGCTACCTACCTCTTCATTTTTTCGTGTTGCTTCGGTGTGCAAGAGATGGAAATCAGTTTCAGATTCTGCAAGTTTCAAGCTTGCCTGCTCTGAGATTCCTTCACGAGAGCCATGGTTTTTCATGGTGGATCCCCATCTTAACCAGTCAACCATCTTTGACTCTGCTGAAAGAAGTTGGAAAAAACTCAACCATCCGCCACTCCTCCAGCGAAGCTCTAACTGCGATTCCATGCCTGTTGCAGCGTCTGGTGGCTTAGTCTGCTTCCACAATGAAGCATGCAATTTCATCATATGCAATCCTGTGACAGGATCCTGTCGTGAGCTCCCTCCAGTGCATCCAGCCCAAGAAAACGAGCCTCTTCTCGCTGTAGCAATGAATTCACAGAATAATCAGTCCTATAAGCTTGTATTGGTCTCTGGCGAACTACCAAGACTTTCATGCAAAGTCTATAATTCAAACATTGGTTGCTGGGGAGAAGAGATCTTGTTGAGAAGAAAGGTTGACGAGTCTCAGGAATTTGATTTAAATGATGACAATGCTGTGTACTTCCTTAGTAAGGCTGGAAACGTTGTGGCAACTGATATGCAGAGGAGCCCATCTAAGCAATACTCATCAGTTATAACTGTTAAGGACGGAGAGGAGATTGTTTATTTCCTTAGCTCCTCAGGTACGATTGTTTCTTGCAATCTGACCACCAAGTGCTTCTCTGAGTATCCCAGACTACTGCCTGTCTTTTGTGAGTACTCCATCGATGTGGTGGAGTGTAAAGGAGAGATGCTAGTTATTGTGTTATCAGAGTTTTTTGAAAGCTCAAACCTCAGGATCTGGAGGTTTGACGAGGGTACTCGATCTTGGAATCAGATTGTAGCGATGCCTCCAGCAATGTCACACGAGTTTTATGGCAAGAAAGTGGATATAAACTGTGTTGGAGCCGGTGACCAGATATTTATCTGCTTGAACTCTGCAGAGTTTTTTCGTTATGTCCTGTGTGATTTGAGAACCAATGAGTGGGTTGAATTACCAATGTGTTTGAAGAATGGTGAAGCTATAGAGTTCATGTCTGCCTTCTCTTTTGAGCCAAGGATTGAAGCTTCTGTCTAAGAACAAAATCATTTGGCCTAGGGAGAAATGTATTAGGGATTGACACTGCCATTATTATTGTTATATTTATTTTTTCACCCTTCCTTCTTCCTGTTTGTTTTCTCTGTTGTACTAGTTGCCAATATTCTTCTCCACCCTAAATTATTTGGACAAATCAGCCAATGTACGTTTGCATGAAGTTTACAATGGAATTATTTTCTATTTAATGACAACAACGTGCTGGGCTAAGATGTTGTTCAATCTTGGAAAAATGAGAGAAAGGATCTTATTTACTAATACACTTTTCATTGAATATCATTTTGCTTCAGTTCAACGGAAAAAACAGGTTATTGATGATTCATATGCAACTTTGAAAAACATATTTATCAGATACAACTAAGGTTGTTTTGCGGCCTTATTAGAATTACTGCAATCTTCTGGTTCAGTCCTGGAGAACAAGACATATCTGCCTTATTTCTCTCCTTGTCGCTACACGATGTCCGACGAGACTATCCAAAAAAAAAATCCTCATCCTTCAACCTTTGCAATTAGAAGAAGGCCAATTCAAGGAAATGCATGATTATCAATCCCTAAATAATTCCCATTCAGCAGAGCAGAGATATATTTTTGGAAGGGAAAAATAGTTGGGCGTCAATCAAATGACGTGTCACTTAGGTGCAAACGACAGTCATACGAACAGGTTAATGTTATGGCTTGTCATCCAATCCAGAAGAAGGAGGCCAGATCTGATTTGGTTTCCCTCCTGGACAAGAAAAATACATTAACCCAGAACGAGACATCCATCCTATTTATAAAATAACAACAACATTAAAAAAACACACGAATTTGAAGAATTGTAGGAATCTGGAAATAATCAAAAGCAAACATCATGGGGTCCAAGGAGCAGGTATTGAAACAAGAATTAGAAGAATTGCAGAAACAGCTGGGCAAGAAACAGAAATTCGAAGACGCACTCTCTTCTCTTAAATCTCTCCTCCGTCGTCACTACCCCTCCGCTTCTCCTTCTCTCCGTAAATCAGTCAGTCTCTCTCTCTCTCTCTCTTCTTTATTTGTTCTCTTTTGATTCAATTATTTATTTATTATCCATGTGATGGTGGTGGTTGTGGTGGCAGTTCTATTCTGTTGTTTGTAGAGTTGCAACTGTCTTAAAGACTAGACACACAGCTCCTGGTTTTTGGCTAGCTGGGTTGGGATTGTTTCAAGAAGCTCAACTCTTGACGTCTGATTCTACCGAGAAGGAGCACTTGAAGGATTGCATTGCTCAAGCTAAAGAACATTTGGATCAAATCGAAAATCCGCCTGAGGTTTCCCAAATTTCGCAAAATAGAGGTTGAATTCTCTAACTTAACCTTTTTCTTTATTTTTTTTATTTTTAATTTCTGTCTCTGATTGAATGCTTTTAAGTAATGGACTGCAAATTATATCGCAAATTCAATGGAATTAAATAATAAAGTTGATTAGAATTCTTCAATTTTGACCTTGTTATGGTGTCGTTGAATTTTTAGGGTATCTGTTTGAGGGGCATCTAACTGTGGATCCTGAACCACCGCGGCCTCAATGGTTAGTGCGGTCAAACATCTTGGATTCTATACTTCATGAGGCTGAATCTTCTGGGCGTCCTGGAGACAGTAATACCATAGAGACGGCTCCCAATCTACTTGGAGAGTTAATTAGCAATCTTGATGATATGATACCAGAGGTAAAGATCAGATCCTCTTATTGGTTTCTATAAATTAATTGGCTCGTAGCTAAAGGAAAGAATGAAAGGAAACACATTTATGCGATGAATTTAGTTGTTCTGTGATGTAAGCTGTGAATTTAGTTTATCCAATTTTCAGATTTAAAAGCAGAGGTAGTTAGTTTGTATTTCCTGATTTCTCTATCCAATTACACAAATATGAACTCTACAAACTTAAAAAGTGAAGAGAAGCTCCTAGAAGAAACCTTGATTCCAGGAATTGATTTGCACCTTGCTTTGATATCTGATGTAATCATGCTTGGTTTAGTGAAGGAGTTAATGTTGATCCTGTCTTGTTTTGATATCTGTCTTTTAGATTATGGAAATGGGTTCCACAGCCCCGAGAGTGCCTCCTGCCAGTAAAGAAGTTGTTGCAAAGCTTCCAGTAGTTACTATTACAGAGGAGATCTTGGTTGAGCTAGGAAAAGATGCAGAATGTGCCATTTGCAAGGAGAATTTGGTTGTCACTGACAAAATGCAAGAGTTGCCGTGCAAGCACAAATTCCACCCTCCCTGTCTTAAGCCATGGCTGGTAAAATTCCTTTAGCATGCTAAGATGTGTAATTCTATGATTATGTAAGAGTTGATGGGATAAGTTTCACATTCTTAACACTATTCAATATTTTTGTCAGGATGAACACAATTCTTGTCCAATTTGCCGGCATGAGCTGCAAACTGATGATCATGCTTACGAGAGCTGGAAAGAGAGGGAGAAGGAGGCTGCAGAAGAGAGGAAAGGTGCTGAAAATGCTGTGCGTGGCGGTGAATTCATGTATATTTAGATGACAGTTGTATGCCATCACTATTCATAGAAGTGACTTTGTTGTGTGTTGAAAATTAAGGTCATCTTTTACCTTTATCTTGTTTAATACAATTCTGAGCTGGTTTTAACATCTCTTTGCTGTATGTTTCTCACACATCTTTGGCTCTAAGGAATTTCAGTTGATAATTAAGCCTTTGTTTGCTGAATTCACTCGAGGCTTAAATTGCTTTACAAACATCCACCGATTGCGTATTATTGTGAATTGTTCAGTTTGCCCACATCTGATGAAATCTATATCCTGGATTTTGCTGCTTAACTGCCTGCAGAGGCAATTTCTTCCGGCAAAATTAGGTTATATCGTTTGTTATAGACACAGTAATCGACAGAGGCATCATACGTTTGTTTTTCAACGTTCCTAAGTTTGCCATTGCTTGGGAGCTCAGAGGCTGTTCTGCTATTTCTCATCTGTTTTGACATGAGTTGGCCAACTAATCATATCCCCTGCATTTATATGCTTCTTGGAGTGGAGTTGTCAGGCTCTGTGGTTATAAATAATGATATTTGTCTCTCTCTATATATCTGAACGCTGAAGTATCTATTTTATTTGCACCTTTGGAATTACGATAGGCTTCAAAGGGAGAGAGAGGGTTTTTCCCACCCACCTGTCGTGTTCCCATAACTGCCAAGAAACCTTCCCTTAATTCACTTTCTCAACATGTCTACTAGAAAGCTGGAAATATATATACCTGATATCAAGAACTGCACCATCCTTATGATGAACAAATCGATTAATCATGAAAAAAAGGGAAGATTATCCTATGTATTGGATCAATCATTGTACTCGAAAAAAGAATTGAATCGTCCAATGAACAGGACGCTTCCGTTTCGTTTCCAATGTAATAGTTAGCAACATTATTACGGCCATACTGCCAATTAGGGATTAGGGATGGCAATGGGTAGTGTACAAAATGGGTACCCTGCTTAGCCCACTTATTAATTATTCTTTTAAAATACCCTAATGGGTAATGGTTAAATATAAATAAAATATTATTACTCATTTATATTAATAGATAATTTATTCATGAATATAGATATTCTCTTTTTATCTTATGAATATCCATCTTTTACCCATTAATATAAAAAATACTAAAACACAAAATTTTAAAATAAACAAAAAAAAAAAAAAGAGAGAAAAAAGCATGTAATTAATCATTCGGATGGTTTCGTTGATATTATTATTATATCAAAAAACAAATAGTATTTTTAAGGCACTTATGTAATTAACTATGTTTTCATTGATATTATTATTATTATTATTCTTTATCATTCAGTTGAACATTTATCCAAACAATCACATACACAATTTGACTAGTGAATTTCTCTATTAGATTATTATTATTAATTATAATTTGTGAATTATTCTTCGCAAATCTCATCATTAATATTACTCTTAACATGGATTTATAGCCTACTTTTTTTTTTTTTTTTTCTTATTGGTCAAGTCAATCTAAACGTTATTGTGGATAATATTTATTTACAACTCAATTATCAGATTTTGGACATGATTATCACGAGTAATATTATTGCTCGTACTTGAGATTTTTTGATATCATCTACATCCGCGGTCAATATCTTCGATTACTTAATTAATTATACGTAAATAATAATAATAATAAATAAATAAAGTGATGTTATTACATGATTTATTTCCTTCCAAATGTTCTATGGTTATGAAACGTACCAAAAAAGTCAATGAGTTTTGTTTGTTATTTTGCTTCGTTTTTCAATCTCAAATGTGCTCGATACTTTTTTCTCTTGCATGCAAAAGCTTTTGGATTTATTTTGGTTCAGCAGAACGTCTTGGAGCAAATTTCAAGTTTAATTGTTGTGGTGCCCTTTTGGATTTATAAGAAAAATAAGAGTCAATGGCCCGGAAAAAACCACTACGAGTTTTTTTTATCTTTCTCAATTAAGAAAAAAACTTTGAATAAAAAATAAAAAATAAATTAAATAATGCTTTGTAAGATAGTCCAACTCATAAATCTTAATTTACTTTAACAATAATTTCATATTAATTAACTTCATCATTTCGGTTAAAAAAAATTCAGTAAAAAAATTTGAAAAAAAAAAGTCTTCAATTTAAAGAAAAAAGTTAGCGGGTAAATGGGTATGGGGGTATGGACAAGTTATGGGCAAGGTAAATAAATGGGTAAATGATTTTTAGTGAATAACTACTTAGGTACCGCGCTATGCTCGCGGTTCGGATAGCTATTATATACGTAAGATCAATTATTCGTATGATATAGTGTGGATAAAAATCTTATTTCTCGTAATTAATGTAAATTAGATTTATTTACTCAGCAAAATCGTTTGATTTATATATTTATTAACAAAATAATCAATAATATTAATATAAAAAATTATATTTGAATAATTAAAAGATTCTTTCAAAACATTATTTCAATTATTGATTTTAGAACATCAAAAAGAATAAATAACAAAAAATTAGTGTTAGGTGTGCAAATACATAATTAATTTCTAACAAATATATATATATCAATTATTTTTATAAATATTGATTTTAGAACATAAATTTAACTACTACAAAATTAGTTACTATAAATTTAACTTCTTAATTTATGATAAAAGAGATTCTTGAATTGCAAATTAAATTATAAATTTGTTCATCTCATTTTGAAAAATGAATTAATTAATTCTTTTGGTTTCAAAAATAAATTATTTAATTTTTTTAATTAGTGTTGACCACGAATAATTTATTTTTTTATTTTTTAAAAAATATTTTTTTCATATTTTTATATGGTGTAGTGCGGGTAAAAACCTTATTTCTTGTAATTAAGGTAAATCAAATTTATTTGCTAAGCAAAATCATTTGATTTATAGATATTTATTAACAAAAATATTGATATATATATATATATATTTCAATTATTTTTATAAATATTGATTTTAGAACATAAAAAAATAAATAAAAAATAATTAATGTTATGTATGTAGATATATAATTAATTTTTAAGAATTGTGTGTGTGTGTGTATAAACAAAATTTTCTTTAAAAAAAAACCATCTATGTTGTATGGAATATATTAAAGTTAATAAATTGAAATAAAAACTACTATAAAATTGGTTCCCATAAATTTTACTTATTCATTCTTAAATAAAAACCCATAATAATATAAATATAAATTTTGATATAGATTTTTTTAAAATATCTTAATATTTGTTTTATAAGACTACATTGAAGAAATATATCAAAAAGCTATAAAGATTTATATAAAAATTAACTAATGAATCTTTTTAAACTTTTTTAAAATACGTACATTTGGTGCACACGTGCGCACACACACACACATAACACAATAAATAATATTAGGCATAAAAGCATGTATTTGAATTATTAGGTGATTCTTTTAAAATATTATTTTATTTAAAATAAATTAAATTTAGAATATTGAAAATAATTTATAGGAAATAGTTGATGTTATAAGTATAGATGCATAATTAATAAAATCATTGATCTCAATACATTTTTGTATGCATCATTACATTATTATTATACTCTGTATAAATTAAAAAATATGTTTAAACAAACTTAAGTTGTAAGAAATATATTAAAGTTAATAGAGCGTAATAAAAATAATTTAAAATTTTATTCTAAAAAAAAATTGATTATATAAAAAATAAGGTAAAGAAACATGTGAATTCTATTATTTATTTTAAAAAAATCATATTTAAAAGATACACAGAGAAAGATAAATCATATTTATTAACAAATAAAATTTTATAAAAAATAAAAAATTTAATTTGATGAGAATTTTTATCATGAACGACAAATTTAAAAGATTAATTTTAATCAATAAAAAAATATAATCTAATATATGTGGTTGTTCTAAAATTTTTAAACATAAGAGTCAAAAAACATCTTTTAAAAATATGAGGAATAAAAATATATTTTGAAAAAACTATGAGACAAAAATAAACTAAGTAAAAAACATGAGATGTCAAAATATTTTAAAAATATAAAGATTTAAAGATATATTTTGAAAACATAAGGAACCAAAAAGGAATGAAGTGTAAATTTTAAAAATGAATATCCAAAAAACTATAATAAAATTACAAAAATGCTATTACAAAAATTATAAAATGGCCACTTTATGTACAGCAAGCCAGACTTTAAAAAAAAAAAAAAAAAAAGCCATCTGAAAAAAAAGAAGCTACAGCGCATGAATTACAAAAGCGCCATTGCAAAAAGTAATGAATTGTAAACCAAAGCAGACGAACAGTATTTACTGTTCATTTGTCTCTTTTGTTTTTAGTTTCTTTGGATGGGTAGGGTAATAGATGTAGTATAAGAAATTGACTTAATGGGCCGAGTACTCGGCCCATTTCCATCCTTACTCCCGATTAAGAAATGTTGCAAAATCTAGGACCAAACTCAGGACTCCAATAGCCCATTTTGGGAAAGCATAACTATGGGCCGCATGAGGCCCATATTGAATATGCAATGGGAAATCAGAATCGTGGCAGAATCATCAGCATGTGTTAATTCTGTCTCCAAAATGCCACCACAATTAGTGTGCTTTTTGCTACTGCTACAACAACTAGATTCATTGATCTGCGCAGATTTGCTTATTAGTACTTACAAAAAGATTTGCAGGAGCTGCAACACTATTGTAATACGAATACATAACCTTATGGAACTGGCCACTTCCCTTCACTACACTTCTCCAAGCAACCTCATTGCATATAACAATAATAATAGGTACCCAACAAAAACCAAGGTTAACCCACTTTTTTACCCATGGATTCCTACACAACGAGCTACAATTTCAGGATCTTCTTCTTTGTCAAGAATGGTTTCAAATGGGTATGCGGGTAGAAGCAGCAGCAGCAACTTTAGATATAAAGATAATAATACTGTTATTAATAATTCCAATAACAAGCAGCGGCAGAAATACACGGAAATGAAGTCTTGTTTAGTCATACCGCCACCTAAAGGTAGAAAGCCACGTGCCATCATCAAATTCCTTGGTGGTGCCTTCATTGGAGCTGTCCCTGAAGTCACTTACAGGTAATCAATCTTTTTTCTTTCAATGAACGATCTTTTGTTAGTTTTTGTTTTCGGATTTTGATTACATGATGATTTGTTGTTTTTTAATGTTGCAGTTGTTTGATTGAGCTATTGGCAAAGGATGGTTATGTTGTTATTTTAGTGCCATACAATGTGACGTTTGATCATTCTAAAGCTGCTAATCAAGTTTATGAGAGGTTCAATGCTTGCTTGGATTTATTACTGCAATCTGGATTGCCCCATGTTGGCTTAACTGCTTCTGAGTTTGTTGGCCTTCCCCTTTTTCTGTTGGTCACAGGTATGTTCATTGTTTTCAGCTTTTAAGTAGCAAAAGTGTTACCTTTTTTAAAACCATTTTTTTTGGAATTTAATTAGCAACCCAGCAATGAATTCACACATGTTTTGTTGTTTTACATGGATATTGAAGCAATGGAGCTCTTCTACAAGTTCTAACAGGAAGTTATTTCTGTGAGAAGATACCAAAGGTTTGGTTTCCTTTTGTTTTTTGATGAATGAGGAAGTTTCATTGATCAAAATCAACCAAAACAGGAATGACCTGTTTACTAAATTCAGTACATCAACCAAAGCAGAACAAGAAATTGAACCTTCACACAAATTCCACACACAAATTCCAAGTTTCACAAAATCTAGTCAAACTAGGATGATTTAAAGCTTCTTGCACCAGTCTGGTTCCTTTAAGTATGAACTGAACTGATTGGATAATACTTCTGATTACATTGCTTTCATCAGTTGAAATAGCAGTATACACTCTTTTATTCCTCTCCTTCCAGATAAAGTAGATGAAAGAACACCAAGCAATTCTTGTTACAATAGACTTGAAGGTCTTCTTTAGAAAATGCTGCTTAGCCAAGCAAAATTCATAATTCCAGTCACCAACCCCCCTGTTACTACCACCACTTTGTTGAATTAGTTGCCATATTCTTTTAGTAACCACACAAGTGAAGAACACGTGGTCCCTGTCCTCATCTTCAGAATTACACCACACACAAACAGGATCAATAACTCTCCCCATCCTAATCTGCCTCTTTTTTGTTCATAACCTGTTAGAATCGCAAGCTTATGAAAGTATGCTTGGGATGTGCATAGGTCCTCAAAGCAATTTGAACCAGCCCACTCTGTTGCCTTTTTCCTTATAGAATCTCAGGCACTATTTGTAGAGAACTTTCCACCTGCAGTGACCTTCTGGATAACCTTATCCTTTGTGATTGGAGAAGGATAGAGAATGCCACAAATAGTACTTTGAATAGCTTCTTCCATTGCATTAGACCTGGCAGCTGGCGATTTCCATTCGCCCCATTAATTACCTGTGAAAGTTTAGAAGTAGTAAGCAATCCTGACTCAATAACGATCCTGTAGCCATATTTCTTGACTAAAGGACCACGAGGGTGCAATGAGTCCCACCATACATAAATATCCTCCACCATTGCCAAATGTATGTTCAGTGTGATCCCAAGCAGGAGTACTAAGTTTCATTAATTTCCTCCACACCCAAGAACATTCACTAGGAATGTTGAAGCTCCACAAACTTCCCTTCAAATAATAGGCCTTGTATCAAGCTACCCACAAGGATCCCGATTGCAGAATCAAGCACCAAAGGTTCCTAATAACGCAAGCCGAGTTCCACTCTTTTAACTTCCTGATACCTTGACCTCCTTCCTGTTTTGGATTGCCAAGAAACGTTTGCCCCTACTGAAGAAGTATCTTTACCATGCCATAAAAGAAAACATTGCATTTTTGCTCAATAAGTTTAATGACAGTTTCCTTTTGTCATACTACTGGACCTTCAAGGCTTTGCTTGTCTAATAATGAGGAAGAAAAATGGATTCTGTAGTTTTAAGTAGTGGAAGCAGAATGCAGATTTTGAAGCTTTGATTTAGTTTTAAAATAACTTGAATTATTTATGGAGTGTGATGAAGAATATTATTTTTTGTCCAAGGCTAATGCCATAATCTCATTCAACAACAGGCCTGCTACAGAGGCAGTACCATATTTTGAGCAGGTAAATATGTCCATTTCATAATACTTAGTGCCTTGTGTTTTGTTTCATAAGTTTGCTGTTATGCTAATGGAATGGATAGATTTTTTATGCTAGGAATTGCATGCATTTGCATCTTTCTCTTGATCAGGGTTATCTCAAAGTGTGCATGTGGACATGTGCTTTGGTGATGCTTGCACACACATCTGTATAAATTTGTAAATTTTCTTTTCCCTTTTTCCCCTTGCTCCTTTTGCTTTGATAAAGATGCAATGGATTTTGTGACATTTGGAAAGCCTTTTACCTTCTGAAGGAATTCATACAGTGATTAGAAAGCAGTAACTGTAGACTTCCCAAATAGAAGGCATTTGGTAAAGTTATGAGGACATTAGGGACACAAACCTAAGTTTATTGGCATGAAATTTAGTGAATAACTCCTGTCTGTTTGATGCTTAGTATGACTGACTGTGGCCTTTGTTTGTTATGCATTCTTATTTTTGGGACTCAACGTAATATGATTTCATAGCAGTTTCTGATTTTCAAAGTATAGGTTTTTATGGTGACGTAACACTAAATTGTCAATAGATAATATGAACCAATAAAAAGTCCTTAGAAACTTTCCGCGGAAGCATTTTGAATATGGGCAGAAAGTGGAGTTTTACCTCATAAGTTGTACGAGTGCATTAATCTTACATGTTGTTCACTCAAGATGAGGCACTTGCACAATATAAGTTGCTTCAGTCTAATACCTATTCTGGTCTCCATCTTTTTAATGCTTCTCTACAGTTAGGTCCACTAGTTAATCAGATGATGCCGGTTGTCGAAGCATCTCCAATGTATTTGATGGCCAGGAGTGCCTCAGGTAAATTGCATATAGACTCTTTCCCTTGAAATCTTGCTTTTGCCAATTTACATACAATAGTTTTTCTCTTTGGTTTTTAATTGTCTTAGCTCACTATGAAGGTCTTCACTTTTTCTCTACTTTATGGAATTCCATACATTTTCTCTTGGAAAATTCTCCAGCAATGTTTCATATGCAGGAGATGCATGGAAGGTTCTTCTTGATACAGCTGGAGCGATTATACCTGACACTGAGCAAGAAGCCCTCATTTCATTGACCAAATTTGTTGATCAGTTGCCATCAGTTTTTGGTCAGGTACTTTCATATCTATTAGAAGCTTGTCTGTGAACAAATTTAATGTCCAGTTCCAATTTCATATAGAATGGTTTTGTTTCTCTCTACTTGAAATTTGGAACAATGACCGACCCTTGTTTGAATCATTTCTGTTGATAAATCTCCTCTTCTGTGTATATAATTTATCGGTTGATCTTGCCAATTAGTCAATATGAATTTATTTATTAAGATTTCATGGAGATTTGTTTATTTGATACTAGCAAGTTTGATGAATTGGAAACCCAAATCGTTATTTTAAGTTCTGAATTTTTTGTGGATTGGTAGACACATTTTTCTTATTTTTCTTTTGTTCTATTTATTTGGTTCAATTTCGTCTAGATGGAGGCTGGTAATTTTGTGGATTCTAACAATATGCACCTAAGTTTAATATCATTTCTATTAGGTCACAGAAGGGATATCAGAGTTCAAGCCAACACCATCTGAAAATCGAGATTGTTGCAGGAACTTATATAATGTTCAACACACATTACTGGTATGTATGATGCCTATGTGTTCCAGAACCTTATAAGTGTATAGCCTTTGTATTCTGGTGTATTATAGAATTTAAGATACATATTCTGCTGTCTCAGGTGAAGTTCAATTTTGACGCAATTGATGAGACGGATGTCCTTGAAGAGACCCTGAAACCTCGTGTTGAGTCCATAGGTGGAACAATAGAAAAGGTCCAACTAAGTGGTAACCATATCACACCATGCATACAGGTACATTATGCATGCACCAGTCATAAGTTTGCTTCTATGCACAGTGTGTGTTTCGTCATCCAGCACGTACACACTCTGTAAACTGTTGCCCTAACATTGGAAGTTGTGTGTGTGTGCATAGGGTTGATGGCTCAATATGTCCTGTAATTCTCCAATCTACCCTTGTATCCCTAATTAAGCCAATTTTATCCTTCAGTAGATGTTAAGCTTCTAATCTATCATTCTGGTAAGATTTTCAGGCAAAACAAACAGAATTAGTTACGTGATTACACATGAAAGCCTTTCATTTGTCTAACTTGCATGGGTATTTTGGGAATAAAAATAGTAGTGTGCAAATCACATGACTAATTCTAGTGGTTTGGCCTGAAAATCTTGTCAAAAGGATAGAGTAGAAACTTAACGTATATTCAAAGATGAAATTGGTTCAATTAGGATATAAGGGCAAATTGTAGAATCATCTTATTATATAAGGACAGATTGAGCTATTAACCCTTAGTTCTGTGAAATTCTTCCTTTTCAACAATTCGAAACCATGTGCAACATAGGCATTCCCTTATGGAGGGAAATGTCATAGGTCATCCTCTAATATCTGATCTGTCTGGCAGACACTTCAACCGTGGAGGAAAATGTCATTGGCCATCCTCTAAGATCTGATCGGTCTGGAAGACACTTACCTTTTTTTGCTTTTGCCTTCTCTCATGGTGGAAGTGCTCAGAGCACTGATGCTCCTTTCTTGTGCTTGCATTTTTTAAAGAATTTCCTATGAGAACAACTGACTGTCATGAAAAAGAAAATCAAATTTGTTCATCACTCATCAGTCATAAAAATTAAAGGATCTTATTACTATTTTTCCCAAAATGTTGTTTTTCCGCTGAAGTCCAAACTCTAGATGCGCTTTTAAGTTCTGCTTCAGATTGCATCTATTTTTTGACAGCGCTCATTCATATGCCAGTGGTTGATGATATTGAATCTCTTCCCTTGTAGTAGTGTCCAACACTGACTCATGTGAAGGTTTATTTTTCTGGAGTCTGCTCTATGCCTGAAGGTGGTAATGAGTGTTTAAAAATGGCCACAAGCCAGAAAGCTTAAGGGTACATAATGCAAATAGCAAATGAGATATATTACATTTGACACCATTGTGAACAATATTTCTCTTGGTAGCACATGTAGAGTTGCAATTGCACCTGTATAAATATAATTAGCTATTAATTTTGGCACCATGCATTGTTGACATGCTTTGTTGCATGAGGATTCTATGTCCTTCTAGTTTTCCTTCTTGATGGATCAGCCTTTTATCATGAAATTCATCGCTAACAAAATTGTTTTATTTGCTGCCGCTAATTAGGAACCAAAATGGCAAGTAGGTTATGTGTACACTCCTGTAGATGCCATTGCTCAAGGGCTTAAAACTCTCTCACTGAATGAGACTAAAGTCCTCTCCAGAACCATCTGCGACTGGTTCAGGCATTTTGAAGATTGAGGTGCTTGATATTCAGCATAAGGTTTATGGAAGGGTGCATCCTTTCATCCGAAACAAAGAATGTAAGAAGATCCTGGTTTCTATATATGGTTTGTGGTAAGTACAGTTTCACCAGTTGCTGCTGATTTACCATCATTTTAATCCATGCATGCTTTTCCATTAGAGTATCTTTGTTAGGAAATGGCAAAGGCAAATGCATTTTTTTACCGTATTTGAAGGAAGTTTCTGTATAGATAAGCAAGTGTCTTTCTTCTCTACAATTTCTTATGAACATTTCCATAGTACCCTACCGTTATGATGCCATTGATGTCTAAAGATGTTTTGAATATTCTTGCCAGAACTTTTGTAAATACAAAATCTGCCACAGAATTGGAATAGTTGTACGTCTACCCTAGAAATTTGAATGGAAATAACACTCAAATCCTGAAATGTGTTTTTAGAGCGTGTACTTTTGTATCATTTGATCTCTAGTCAGTTTGACCTCTTTATTTATTTATTTGACGCTTTAACAGCTTAGGAATGCCATCATGCCATGCCATGCCATGAATTCTTGATGTTGAAAATAACTTGCTGGAAAATTGTGCTGCAACCAATGAATCTATGCAACGACTACAGATAAGCAATTTGAAAAAAAAAAAAATTTGCTACCTGCAGAACAACTTTAGCATTTTTCTTTTATTAATCAAGGAAACGTGCCAATGTTCAATGGTACATGAAGTTCATTTTCATTTTGCACGCATTAGCTTTTCTATTTTCTTCAACGGAAAAAAAAATCATAATTTTAGACGCCCTGAACAAAATTGCTCCCTGCAAAAAACAATGGTAGTATATCTCCAGTGGCTCTTATGAGATAACCAAATCAAGACAATTTCCATAATCTTGACTCCAGGAAATGATGCCCTTCATGCTGCTGCCTTCACTTTCTCAATGAGATCTGCAGCATCTTGAACAGTTGCAATGTTCTCTGCACCACTTTCGCCAATTGAAACGCCGAATTGTTCTTCCAAAGCCATCATTATCTCGACCTGAAGATATTTTACAGCTCAGTTTATATGGATAAGGATAGGATACAATTTAGAAGAATTCCATGTGTAAAGAAGGAATACCGTGTCAAGGGAGTCAGCACCCAAGTCAGCAAACTTGGTTTCCGGAGTCACTGTGCTCACATCGACAGACAATTGCTTAGCAATGGTGCTTTGGACGGTTTCCAGGGTTTCAGTTTGAGCCTAGTCATTTAAACATTGCACTTTGTGAGCTACACAAAATGGCATAGAACGCAGTTGTAAAAAATAAAAAAAATGGGAAAAAAGAGGCAGGGTATGAGGAACTGAATTTTCTCACAGAGCATGAAATTGTGGTCTTGAAGCATCTAGACCTGGTAGTGGAAATGCTAGCTGCCTTTGAGAATTGGATTTTCTGGAAATGTTTTCGCCCGAAAAATAGAGGACCTCCCTGCATTAGGATTAATATTTGCATCAGGTATTTATTTACATTTTTTTTTCTTTTTATAAACAAAATTAGAAACGGGAAGTGTCAGTACTAACGTTGACAGAGAAGCTCTTTTGCTGAATGGTGGTGAAACTAGCCCTGGTAGGGGCGAGCAGGGCGACCAGCGGACATGTAGGGGTTGCAAGGAAGCTGGCCATATGTGCTGTTCACCAGTTGCAACCCCAAAAAAATGGAAAAATAATTTGAAACAGGAAAGTGATTGGTGATTTGATCAAGTTTGAAGTTAAATGCATGTATATATAGGGAGTTTGCTGCCTGGGCATTTGGGGAAGAGCTGATAATTCCAATGTATGCTTTTGTCTTATGGGCCATGGAGGTAGGGCGGTCACTCCCATGTCGTCCGTCTGCTTGTGGCTGTAATGAGCTAAGTTCAAAACAGTCCTGGCTTACGCTTGAACCCATAAATTAAAGCCAATGCTAAATTTAGCTTCTCACCATAGGAGGGGCCTTCCAAGTTCCAACTATTGTGGTACGCAGTGGGGTTAGAATTGAATTTTTATTGTCATATTCATGTTTTTGTTTTTCATTCGTTTTTGTGTAAAATAATGGGACTAAATATGTTAGTAACACCTAACACCTAACATAACCTCTGATAAAAAAAAAAAAAAAAAAACAATCTGACATAAAAATGTGGAGATTGGAAAACATCATACATGTCAGTTGCAACAAAAACTTAAAGAGTTGGTGGGGCGTGGGAACCAGGAATTGGCCGAATGGCTGACGATCAGTCTATAAAACCGAATTTGGTGCCTTGTTGGAAAGAGGGTTTGGAATTTGGTTGTGAACAAACCACCTCTATTGTTATTTCCTTCAAATAAGTTAAATGATTGTTCAAAAAATTAGGATCTTTTTGTCAGGATTAACAGATTGTGGGGAGGATATGAGGAAGGATGTTATTAACCTATCCATCTAATTGTTTGGTTAATAAGAGAGAGATGGTCTTGTCAATTAAGTAGACACCTCGCATTAACCGGTCACCGAATCCTAACCTGATGCTTTCCTTACCAATGGACCAACTTGAAAAGGCAGACAGGGACCTTTAAATTTTTGGGGAGTAGACCCCTCAAGTTGAAGTTCGGGCCAAACGAAGTAATTATGAAATAAAAAATACAGAACACTGAAACTTTAAACATGATAAATTCCAGAATGGAGAAATATTTACGACCAAATCAAAAGCAAAATAATCCAACATTATAATTATTAAAAAATAAATAAAAGATTTAGGTTTGGTTTGGTTACTGTTCATGGAACTATTCTTTCGGATGTACATGCATTATTTATTTTCACTATACAGATGGTATTTTTGTTATTTTTTAGCTTTTTTTAGACATTCATATACAAATTTGACATTATATGTTATTTGTTAGTATAAGTGTCCTACATCCAATATTGTTTGGATGATTTGATTTATTGTAATGTTATATTTTTATTTATTAATAAAAGAAGTTTTTCTATTAATTTTTATTGTTTACAATTTGATATAATTAGATAGAAATTTATATGATATATATTGCATTAATGATTGATTAATTGATGCGAGATGAACATTGATGTATTTAAATTATATCATTAAATATCTCAAGTCGCAACGATTGTTAAGAATGGGCATTGACTATATGCAGTAAGGCTTGTGAACGCTATGCTAATGCTATAAGATAGCGAGTAGGAGATCTCACACCTATTGTCAAAGCAAACATTTAGGTAATTAATTTTAGAGAATATATCACTAGACATGACTTGTCATAAGAACCCATTTGGTTTGATGAGAATCTCATACGAGATAAGTACAATTGGTCCTTTAATTTGAAGTCATCACGGTTATCTCATTAGAGAATTGGTGTACTTTGACACTCGTTTCGATAGGCTAAGTCAAGAGTCGCATGTGGATGATTCGTTGGGTGCATTAGAAATCTAATTAAGATAGGTAGATGACAAAGATAGAACATGTTATTCCTTGTATGCTAAAGGAGTTTTCACATGGCACTTCGATGAATGTTTGCTCAAGAAATCTATAATCACAATGAGAGTATACTAATAGAGCATAGTTGGTTTACTTTAAAGCTAAGACATTTGAAAATCAAAGAAAACTTATGTTATCACAATCGAACAAACTATAAATTAAGTTCGAGATCACATTATGATGAATTAACATGAGGGTCTGAATTGTATGGTAACCATTCTCGTCCAAGGTAATTACGGATTAATTAATCCTCCTAGAGAATTGGATAGTTATGATGTCTTGCTACGAGTCAATCTTGATTTATGTATCAAAAGATAAAAGAGGTGTCTTTTATTCTTGATACATTGCTAGTATATCTAAGAGTCTATTGAGTCACATGAAGGATAATGCATCATATGAAGGTGTAGATAAAACAAAAGTTTTCTTTTATCTAAAGGGTCTAAGATCATGTCGTTGAATCAACTAATCTTATATTCATGAATTAAAGCATTAAATAAAGAATTACCTCTTGTAGTGAAGATTTAAATTCTTTAGCATAGAAAGGAGCCGTCTAAACATTTGGCCATAATCCACGCAGTCCAAGCACCATACAAAAAGCACTTAAAATTGATAAAGTGCTAGCTCCACCTTTTTTGACTTTGTTTAGTGTTTTACTTTAGAAATCAAATCAGGATAATTTTACAACAACCCTAAAAGACAAAAGATAGATGGCACAATTATTTAGGGAAGGGAGAAAACTATTTTCTCCTTGTTTTTCTTAATGTCGTGTAACCTTAAAATTTTCATTGATTAGGTGGTCCAATTTTGATTTGGGCCTTAATGGGCCTAAAGTCCAATTTTTCCGAAATCAATTTTTCTTTAGATTTTTATGAACACTTTTATTCTAAATCATCCATTTACCTTATTTTGCACTTGAATGAGCTAATTTAGGGTTTGAAACTTAATTTAAACTTACTTCTCAAAATTCCTCATTTAGGCCAAATATTTCACCATTTAAATTCCTAAGATTTTCTTCGCATTTTGCCCTACTATTTTAATACTAAGTAGCCTAAATATGTATCCACCATAAGAATAAATTGAATTAAAATTTAGAACCCTAATTCCTATCCAAACCCGTATTTGGCTCTAATGGGTCGAAATTGGGCCCAAGCCCATATAACCCATTTTCTTCAATTTTTAGCAAATTTTTCATTTCTACTCATCAAAACATGCTTATTTAAGTGTAAATAACCCATCAAACCATAATCAAATTGCTTTGAACTCAAATCCTAATTTGCTTAGTTTAGGTCGAATATAATTCCTAAAAAATTATGGATTTTTCTTCAATTAAAGTGTAATTTTTCATTTCTAAACACTAATTCATAATCAAGTGCCAAAACACTAATTAAATGAAAGAATTAAAAATGCCCAAATTGAAGGTTTAGGCCAAATAGAATACCTTGAATAATTCTAGAAATTTAACCTTAAAATTAAGTATGCTTGTGGTGTATGTGAGGTTAGCTTACATGATTAAGCTCCAAATTAACCTTGAAAAGGTAGGTTTCTTGAAAATTCTCTTCCTCTCCTTTCTCCCCCTAAATTTGAATTACCTTTTAATTTTCTCCTTGAAGGTATTTGGCCCCCAACTTGAAATTGAAGCTTAATCCACTTGCTTTGGAGGGTCTAAAATTAGTTAGGATTATTTTAGGTAATTTTTGAGTGAACATTTTGCAAGAGTTTCCTTTGTTTTTTTTTTTTTCAATTTTCCTCTCCTTTTTAATTTTTCTGGCACCATTATTTATAGGAAAATTCTATAGACTTGTTGACCTCATCTCCACCCTTAATTTGGGTAATCTCATCCCTTAATTCAATTTTCAATCAATTAATTTTATTTGTCTAAATTTTTGGCCATTTGTTCTTCTTTATGGTTAAGCCTTCCATTTACTTAATTTCAGCCATAAAATTTACTGATAGTCAAAATTAATTAATTCTTTAGGTCGACTAAAGTTGGGAGGAAAATGATAAATTTTGGCCCTCCAAGTTTTTAGAGTTTCCTAAGGTTTATTCTTTCCTAAATCCTCCTTTTATTCAAATAATCATTTCTAACCCTTTCTTTTTAGTATTTAGGACTGAATTTTGACCCTTAATATTCCTAAATAATTTAATTTGGATTATTAGACTTTTAATTTTATGCAATCGAGTCCCTAATTTTATACAATTCGAGTCCCTACTTTTAAAATTCCATCCTATACTATTCAAAAATCCAATTTATTTCCATAATCAATTCAAATATTTATTAAGGGAGTTTATTTTAAATTTTTATAATTTTTGGACCTCATTTGAGCCTCTAAATTAATTATTTAGTGTGAAAATCACATTATTTCCTATTAAAAATATTCCCTATACTTAATGAAATTAATTTAAATTTTTCAGGGACACTCACACCTCCTATATGATTATTCTATGTTCTTAAAAAAAATTTCTCATAATCTTAAGGTGCCTAAGTAAATTCTTTACCTCTAAAAATACTATTCTAACACATCAAAATTCAAATAAAATATTCATAGCACATAATAAAATTCACACAATTATATAAAATAAATCAACACCCCTTTAAAAAATATTTTAAACAAGGAAAACATTTTCCTTGCACCCACAAGTTGCTCAAAATAATTATTTTACTGAAAAATCACTATTCATACAACGTAAAATCAATAAAATATTCTTTGGGCATAAAATAACTATTTTATCTACTCCGAATATTCTTTCGAGTCTTTATGAACTATTTTATCTCTTCAAAATATTTCTCATATGTTTTTAAATATTTAATTTTTATTTAATTTTTATTTTTAGAGGGTACCGGTCATTACATATATTCCTCTTCATACACATCCATGATGACAAATTATATGGAGTTACAATGACTAGCCATGAGGAATATTATGCATTAGATTGATGAAATAATTGAAACCCATCGAGTGCACACTCCTAATCCGACGTTTCTTTTTTCGATGCAAAAGGAAGATTAATCGATTGAAACTTTGTCATGCAATAGAATCGAAGGGATGATACATTACTCCCGCATTATCTCCCCCACGTTCAGCATGCCACATCATATGTTCAACTCGTCGCATTCAATGCATACAATCGTTGTAAACGCGAGGTTAGAGAAAAATAATACATTTTCTTAATTGGAAC